TTTTAAAAAGTAAAAAAAAAATTTAAAAATAAAGTGAATTTTTAAGAACATCAGCAGTCAACCCTCCCAGGCCACTTCTGGTGTTTCTTCATTTTTAAACTAGGACCAGTGCCACCTAAACTATAGGATTCCTGTGCAATCTCAAAAAGACAAAATATGTGAGACAAACCCTTGGGCCTTCAGGCAAGGAGGAGGTACCTGGTGAGGAGAGAGCGTTTGGTCAGAGCACAGGGCCAGGGGTGAATGGATACTTGGGCTTACCTCTTGAGGAAATCCTCCTCCATCTTGGAAGACTGCCGGCCACCACCATACTCAGACCTGGGCAGTTTGGACTCTGCAAAGGGACCAGAAGAAAAGGCCAGTCAGCAGGAGCCTAAGATCCACAAAGGCATGGCAGTCATCCGGGAAAGGGCTCAGGAGTGCACCCCCCTGGAAGGATGTGCCCCAAGGACAGACACAGAACACATCGTTGATCCAGCCAGTCTGGAGAAGCACAGCCCGAAGCCCCGTCTGCTCCCTCATTTTGCACCAGGACTGCTTACTGTGTGGGGCAGGCAGCAGGCACAGCCACTTACTTGAGTGCAGTGTTCCCTATCCATCACTCCTCACTCTACAGCTACTTGGATTCTAGGTCATCTCCCAAACACAGGCCCAGAAGGGCTGCAGGAACCCACTGCTCTGCTTCATGCTCAAAGGACAGCCTCCAAGGTCTCTGTTTTGGCAGTGGGAGCTCCTTAAATGTTTCCCTTAGGAGCCCATTCTACAGATTTCTAACCCTGAATGTGGCAAATGCCTCAAATTAATGACATTTTACCTATCACTTGACCTTCATCACCTCTAATCTTAATGGGCTCTTTAGTTGTTACAGGGCTACCTTTTGATGGCCATTAACTTGGTGATTCCCGAGCAAACACAGTCCACTTGTCTCTCCACCACCTGGGTGACACTGAAGGTTTTGCTACTCCCCTCTCCTCCACAGCCTTCACCCTTCCCGAACCATCTTTCAGCCAAAGCTCAACACTTTTCTGTGGCCTTGGCCAAATGTCCTCCCCCTCCATCACAGGTTTCTAAAGCAGCAGCATCTAGGACTGCACAAAAATACTGTAGAAGAACCCGGCTTTGTGAGACAACATGTGAGGATTTGCTATTCCACTGCCAAGACGTTTTTTTTTTTTT